TTTGCCTATAATCACTACATTTTTTTATAAGAAAATGAAATGGTTAGAGTGTTTGTTAGTGTGGAAAATAACTGATTACGATGTCTGTTAATATTGACTTACTTGTAATACGGAATAACTTCCGAGTAGTTCATCAGAATGTAAGTTTGTGCAATTCAAAACTCGTCTCCGACAACACGACGGTGTGTCCTTCTACCATATCCTTTACCCGGATAGTTGAAGATGGAAACCATTTGATCATACAATACTGAATCAACATTATCATTTCTGACAGACCTTTTTCACTTAGTCATGATATCTCTTTCAAAATAGAAGAGAATGCGGACACTTCTTCTGTGAGGTATGCTTGGCATATAGATGCTCCAACGTGTGCTTTATTTGTCACCTTCTTTTTCAGCTCTCGCAAAAACATAAGACATTTCAGGACAATGTTAAAAAATTATTTTATATTAAAATAAACAATATATGAAACCATTGGGAAAATGCATATTAATTTTACCTCTCAAATCCGTACATCCATCTATACCAACTTGGCCTGGCGGTCATTGCTTCAAATGGAAGATGGACAAGTAGATGCTCCATTCCATCGAAAAAGGATGGAGGAAAGATCTTTTCCAAATTGCACAAAATAGTGGGAACATTACGGTGAAGATCCTGAATTGCCTGTATGTCTAGCAACGGTGAGCATAATAACTGAAATAATTGAGAAACATCACAAATAGATGCCCACACATTATCCAGGAGATTTTCCTTCAATGCAATTGGAAGGAGGCGCTGCATCATCACATGGCAGTCATGACTCTTCATGCTGTTCATTACTAAATTTTCTAAGTCAACACATCTTTTAAAGTTAGAAGTGTATCCATTAGGGAATCGTAGCATGATGAGCCACTCCAATATGCATTTCTTCTGCTCGTCCGTGAGCTGATAAACTGCTTTCTTGAATGGACCGACATACTCAGGGCCCATAGAAATTTCCGGTCTATCACAAAACAAAGCTACATCTTTCCTTAATGAAACGCCATCCTTAGTCTTTCCCTTGAAGTTCATAACCGTGTTAAAATGTTATCGAAAACATTTTTCTCAATATGCATTACATCCAAATTATGCCTAATCAGAAGATCCTTCCAATATGGTAAATCCCAGAAAATGATTTTCTTTGTCCACTTATGATAAATGCGATATCCACTTGGATACTCAAGAGGCTCGTCAATGGCAGAAGGGATGTTTCGAACACGATCATAAATCTGATATCCTGTTAAAATCGGAGGTGGAGGATCGCGGTCCTTGCGACCCTTGATGAATGACTTCTTATCCTTTCGATATGGATGATTAGGAGGGAGAAATTTGGTGTGACAATCAAAGTAAGATGTTTTTCGACTATTCTTTAGCCAAAATGCATTTGATTTTTCCATACAAACAGGGCAACCCATAACCCCTGCAGTATAGAGCATTCCGTATGCTGGAAAATCACTAATGGTCCACATAATCGCAGCTTTCATATAAAATATTTGATCCCTCGAAACATCATATATAGGAACACCAACTTCCCACAATTGTTTCAGCTCTTCGATCAATGGCTGCAAATACACATCAATTCTTTTTTTTTTTGGATTACCAGGACCTGAACACATTAATGATAAAAACATAAAATGATTTTTCATACACATGTCTGGGGGGAAGTTATATGGTGTAATGATAATTGGCCAACATGAGAACTGGCCTCCAAATTGACCGTACGGAACAAAACCATCGGAACATAACCCAATTCTCACGTTGCGCGGCTCAAAAGCAAATTGAGGATAACACCTGTCAAAATGCTTCCACGCTGCGGAATCTGATGGATGACACATTAACCCTTCTTCAGTGTCATGCTCTACATGCCACGTCATGTGTTTAGCGGTAGCGCTTGAGGCATATAATCTCTACAAACGTGGTGCTAAAGGAAGATATATCAACTTAGATGCTGCAGATCTTTTTCGTGCTTTTCGACCAATACCTGATATGGGCTTGTACCTATACCCATTACAAAACTTACACCGGATCAGTGTTTCGTCGTTCTTCCAAAACAACATACAACCTCCAGGGCATGCATGGATTTTTATCATAAGGAGACCTAACTCAGAAACAAGCTTTTTCATGTTGTAGTAAGTATCGGGAAGACAATGGTCCCGAGGTAACATACTACCAAATGAGTCTAATATTTTGGACATTCAGCTCTCAGATAGGTTATATTCTAACTTTATGTTAAGAAATTCAGAAACTGCTGATAATTGGGAATGATCATAACAGTCAGAATATAAAGGCTGATCCGCACTTTTGAGCACTTCTTGAAATCTAGTGCCTAACACATCCACATCATAATATGATGAACTTGGTCCTTCGTTCACATTATTGTGTGCGTTGAACTCACTATCCGTGTGGATATTGGGAAACGTAGAAGGACCAGCCAATTCATAAAGCATTTTTTGCTCTCATACCATTTCTTCATAATTTCCCCAATTAGCCATCTCGTCGGGAACACCGAACATACCTCGATGTTCCTACATTTTGCGGCAACAACTCTGGCTCAATTGGTTCTCCTTGAGCAGTCCAGTTGTAATAGTTTTCAACAAAACCATGCGTATATAAATGCCAACAAAACTCCCCACCTTCAACAAATTTGTTATTTTTACACTTTGTACAAAGACATCTTATTTTACTTCCATCCATATAGCGTGGTTGCCCTTTTGCGAATCTAATGAATTCGTTAACTCCATTTTCGAACACTTTTTTCAATCCTCTACCATTTTCCTTGTAGCGGTCAGACATCCAACTTCTAGTTTGTCTATTCATTGTGCCTGAATATTAAAAAATATCTTAAATTTTTTTTTTTGACAGTATATCTTAACGAAATTAATTTATTAAATTTACAAATTAATGTCTCACGTTTTAAGGCTAACACTAGAATTCAATCAATATAATTAAGAAAAATAATGCTGATAACATCTCGTAATATGGATATGATCAAATTAATTTAAAAACAGAATGGTCGAAATTTACATACCTTAAGTACAACGACGATACCAAGTAATATAAAGTAAATCCAAATATAAACCTCCAGATATCAAGTAATATAACTTCCAACTTCTACCCAGAATTCATCATACACAAATATTAAAGAGATCATTTTGAGAGATGTAGTTTTTTCACACACCAAACATGTATTTGTAGAATTAGTAGGCACGGATCTTGGGACGGAAATACACCAGCCAAAACGTGCCAACGGCCTTCATTGTCTCGGATATTGGCACGGAAATACATTTAGGCAGAATGTGGGACGGGCAAATTAACGGTTATATTTTGGCACGCCTTTCGGGTCCGATATACGCCTGCCAGCATAACGGCTACATTTTGGCATGGATATAAGGATGGAAATGGGGTCAGCTGAATATGATGCGGCGTTGGCGCGGATTTAGGCACGGAAACGGTTGGCACGGAAATGAGTCGCACCAACTTCAAACAAAAAGCGCCCCCGTTGGGTCGGACAGAGTTCTCTGCCAACTTGTCTCGGAATTTGTGACGGATATATTCGCATGCCAACTGATTTGAAGTTTTTTCGGTCTTGGCACGGAAATAGGGTCGAAAAGTCCGAGACAAACTTTGTGGCACGGATTTATCCGTGCCTGAGGCGGAATTAATCGACTATTTGGGCTTTCCGTGCCAAAATCTGCGCCAAAAATGTCTAGGATATATTCCGTGCCTAAATCCATGTGTATAACGAGTTTTTTTGGTAGTGAATATGTCAAGGAAGTTGTCACGAAAAAATCTGTGACAAAATGTAACAGGTAAAACAATTAAATTTTGTCAGGAATTTTATCTGTGACAAAATTCCAGCGACGAAATAAGGCTCGTCAGAAAGTTTTGGGTGTACTGGCGGCCATATTGTCACAAATTTTGTCATGGATTTTATCTGTGGCAAAATTTGTCAAGGATTCTATCAGTGACAAAAAAAATCGTGAACTCCGGAAATATTTTGTAACAGAGTTGTTAAGACAAAATTCGTGACAAAAATGTTGTTTTTTTGTAATGTATCGACCGACAATTACACTTGGGTGTGCAAGCCAGTGTGTAACCTGATGTGTACACGAAGCAAAACTCTTTTTATTATACATTAACCTTTCATCCAAAAAAAGTTGAAAAACAATCAATTAAATACTCTCTCTGTCCCATTTTATCTGTCCTACTTTCGTTTTTGAGTTGTCCCAAAATAAGTGTCTACTTTCCTTTTTTGGAAAGAAATATGTGGCATACACCATTTCACTTTATTATACTCAAATCTCAACCACAACTTTTACTTTTTCAACCATTTCATTAATAATTGTGCCAAGTCAAACTAAGACACATAAAATGGGACGGAGGTAGTAACAATTTGTATAAAATCAAAGATTAGAATATATACTCCGTGCTGTAAAACTAAGAGAGATCATTGACGGGCTCAAATGAGTTTTACCCGCTACAAAATTAAAGAAATTGCTAAAGTTAACATATGATTAAAATATAAGTGTAGTGTAAAATATAGGAGTAGATATTTTTTTCAAATTAAGTAAAAAATATTAGTTTCTGTTGAGAAAACAATATTTTCTATATAGAAATAAATAATTCTTACGGAGTATTTTAGAAAGAAAGTAATGATGATTATATTTGTGTCATTTCTCTATCTTTTATAGTCCTGGCCTATTTAATTAAAAGAATTCATTTAAGGCATGGTGTCATATTTAAGGGATAAACTTTAATAGGTGGATGATATTGGATATAGGGACTATTCATTATCATATATCCACTTATATCGATATCGATTAGTAACTATGAACACATTTTTTGGATAATATTTATTATTCCCTTTTATGTCTTTTGATCTTTACATACTCCGTACATAATAGTAAATCTTGTATAAATTACCGAAGTAGTATAAAAAATATGGCACGTAGTATCGCAGTATAAAAGGGTGAGAATACAAGCTAAGAAGTAAGAATTGAGTAAATCATTACTGGGAATGTCGCACTTCATGGGCCTCAGAGTAAATCTAGTTATTTTATCAATTATTGTTGTTTTTAGTACCTGCGCAAAGAATAAAAATGTTGCATCGCCTGATAACCCCATGGAAGGAGTAGGAACATACAAACGCAGTTCAATCATCAAAACCATAAAGGTAAGTCCCTCCATACCACACATATTATATATGTATATAGAGAGGGAAAGAGATGTTCTCAATCTCTCATCAGGCCTTCCTTATATATGTATAGCATGTTATTCATAAAGTGTAATAAAGTGTAGATAATATCTACAAAAGTTCAGCATAAAATCAAAGTTGAAAGTTAGTGAAATGAATTATTGAAATACTATGCGCCAATAAAAATACTTTGTATAGAATTGTTCAATAATTTATTTATTTGACTTCTCGATTGAATTTTTAAGTGAAATTTTGTGGACGTAATCTAAACTTCCTAAAAATAAGCTCCCAAAATTTCATACAAAAAATCTGTGGAAGCACCTCAAATGGAGGCGCCCATTTGAGGTTTAAATGGGATTTGTTTATGGTTCTAACTTAATTAAATATATGTCATCACTATGCGGGGCGCCCACACACACACCAAAAGGAGAAGTAGGTTTGGTATCAAACAAAAACCACTCTCAAAGAGAAGACTGCAATTCGATCCCCTTTTCCCAATTTGATGCACTTTAAAGGTGATCTATTGCACTTTTCAAACTTTGATCAAAATTCCAAATGTGGTGGCATTTTTGTATATAAGTCAAAAAAAATTGTCAATGCGAACAAGTGCAACAGAGAAACTAAATAATGCATATAGCTACTTATTAAGGACATCAAAGACATGTGATACAAGATAAGCAACACTACACGAGGAGATTTTTCAATCTGTGCGTTGCACAGATAACACATGAAATCAATTTAATTTTAAAATTAAATCATTTCATCAAAAGTGTTCTAAGCATACTTATTGGATAAAAATTAAACATGATATAAAATTACATTAGAGTAAAACTTGGCCAAAAGTTCCTTTTTAATTTAGTCATCCCAAAAAACTTTATCATTTTCATTTAAAGTAATAAATATTTGGTTAAATTAGTTTTTTGCTTCTCTGCACAAATCCCATTCAAACAATTTTTATTGAATTACTTGTGGGGTAGTATTTATGTGCATGTCAAATTTGGTCAAGTTTTGTGAGACAGAGGGAATATAATTTACCCCATAAACATTATTTTGTCCACAATTTATCTTATTAAATGAAGATGATAGGAATTAGTATCATATTATAATGTAATATTATATAACGTACTCGTATTATTTAGTGATATTGATGATGATTATTCTATACATTATTGTTTAATTCTCTCGAGTATTCAATATTGGTACATGTAATTATTATGAAAAATCATTTCACTTTTTATAAATAATAAAATGTGTCTAAGCTTGACATTCGTAGTTTTTTTAAGTTTCTAAAAATTTACCATACATCCAGCAGTAAAAATATGTATTCTATAATATCTTTCTATACCCATCTCACCATATGTGCTATAAAGATTACATATATAGAGAGATTACAGATACATAGATAAGTATAATGAAGTATAAAACGAGGAGTTAAAATTTAAGGTACAAGGTTGGCTCCAATCCAGCCCCACCCCAATTTTTAAAATTATAAATATAGGTTTATATAAAATTGGTGTTTAGTCCAGCCCCAAAAATAATATAAAAGCTCAATAATTTAGTGAAGGTCATAAAGATTAATTTAAAATGTTATTCATTATTTTATTCTAATTGTAAGTTTTAATGCATCATAATTTCATATACAATCGAAGTTTAGAGAATAATTTCATACACAAAAGTTTATCATGTTAATGGTCATATATTATACATATGAAATTACCATTAATATACTACATCAAAACGAAATCAATATTTAACTAGTACAAAGCTAATAAACACGAATTTAGAAAAATCGTCATCATTTTCATTATAGTTGTAATTCACAATTATTAATTATAGTTGTACTAAATTATTGATTGTACTAATTATTGAGTTATTAAATAGTTTTTCATTAAATATGTTATGAAGTAATCCATTCATTGAAAAAACGAAATGTGAATATTAAATGCTTTTATAATAAGATAACATATGTAACAACCAAATTTATATATATTGTCTTTATCCTCATTTTTCATATGTTTTATTTATAACTCACAACTGTTAATTATAGTGTACTTAAACATTGATTGTTACAAAACAATCTATTCATCATTGAAAACATAAAATGCATGTGAACATTAAATGCCTTTATAATAAGATCACATATGCAACAAACAAATGATTTAGTCCATATTATTTGTGAAATTACATAGATATTACTTCTTCCGTCCCGCTACTATACATTGTCCCATCTTTGTTTTTCAGTCCACGTCGTTAAGATTGTGTCATTCGAAATTTGATAAAGTTTGTTTGGATCTAAATAATTTTTACTTTATACTTTCTTTATCAATTCCATATTAATATAACATAAATTCATTTTTCTCAATAACAACATCACTTCCTCATGTTATAATGCTAGTGGGACGAAGGTACTACTATTTATATTGAAACTCAAATTTAAATACCCACTCAGCCACTATGTCTCTTAAAACTTTTTATCTTTGATTTTTTTGGTCAATCATGTTCGATTTTGACCAATTATATACTTTTATAAGAAGTTATTTATAATATAGAAATGATATAAACATGTTCTTTGTTAAAAATACTTTTCAAAAACTAAACTTTATGAATTCTACTCCCTCCGTCCCATTTTACCTGTCCTACTTTCCTTTTCGGGTTATCCCAAAATAAATGTCTTCTTTCCTTTTTTGGCATGAAATATGTGGCCTACACCATTTCACTTTATTATACTCAAACCTCAACCACAAATTTTACTTTTTCAATCACTTCATTAATAATCGTGTGAAGTCAAACTAAGACACATAAAATGGGACGGAGGAAGTATAATATTATACTAATCCAATCGTTGACTTAAAAAGTCATGATAGGATAGATGTGATCGACATGTGACTATAATTTGTACGCTTGACCTTTTCAATTAGCCAACCTCGTTTTCTAATGGGTAGTGACTTTTTCCATATGTAACTTGTATGAGTGTTAATTCTTTTTTTGGAAGACTGTTTAAGTTAATTCTCGTAACCTGTAAATATGATTTGTATCTATGAATATAAACAAATAATTAATGTAGCGTGCTAGAATTAAAGAAATGATAAGACGTTTATTTATATTGGTGATAATTATGTATTGGTCGGGTGAGGGACTTGGGAGCCTGGTTAAACTGATATCAAACTCATTACATTGAGTATTGAATTTGGGAGTTCCCATAAGGGAGAATGAGTCGGCCATCAGCTAAGTTGAACCACTTTCTCGAGTAGGCCGAAGAGTATCATTGAATAAGAGTGTGTGTTTCATAGTATTAGTGAGTAAGAATGCTTGTGTCTTCACATTGGGTGCTAGTGTTATTTAAAAGAGTAGAAATTAATTCTTCTTGTCCGTTCATCACTCCCGAGTTGTCCAGCGGAAAAGTAAGAATAGGACCGTCTGTTCATTGCTATTTTCATTAAACAACCTCACACTTCATTCTCCCCCATGATATTACCTTGCAGTACTAAATTCATATAGTCAATAAATTATAATAATGTTATGCCCTATGTAGCACTGATACCGGTACGCGGAAACGCAGAAACGCGGAAACGGGTACGGGGATACGTCAAAACCAAAAAAAGTAGGATACGGATGCGGGGCCATATTTATAAATATTAAAAGTTATGGGGGTGTATTTACAAATATTAAAAGTTATAGGGGTCTATTTATAAATATTAAAAATAGATTTTCTTTTTGAATATATACACACACACACACATATAATATCCTATGTTGTCTACCCATTCATTGCATTGAAGAATTTTCCTTTTTCAAGATACTTAGTAATAAATTCATAATATTTCTCATATACACTAGTCATCTCGAAATATAAATATAGTCAATAAGTCATTAATTTAAAATGAGAAATAAGTCAAACAACTACAATCTTGAAATTAAAAGTGCAAGTATCCAATTCAGAGTATCAGTTAATGACTTAATTCGGATATAGTCATATAAGCCCATTATTTGATTACCAAGTAAAATGTAGTTTTAAATTTTCATTTTTGTTTAGAATTTTATTAAGTAAATTTTGGGATTTTTTTTTTAAAAAGTTGATACGAGTATCCGTCAGGATACGAGTATCGGAAACTTTCAAAAAATTACAAAAAAAATGGAAACTTTTAAAAATTGCAGATACGGCCCGGGAACGTACGGTACGGGTATCCTAGAGTATCGGACACGGGAACGTATCGGATACGCCGATACGCTACCCTAGCGAAGTATCCGTGCTTCATAGGTTATGCCTCATTGTCTTAAATACGATTTGGTCCAACAGTTTTAAACCCGTCATAGTCTGGAAAGCTCTAATTTATTATTGTATTAATACAAAACAACATCCTAATAGCCAACATTATGTCTTATAAATGTACCATAAATGTAGAATCAAACCGTCAAATATTAAGTTGGGTTCAATGACTTTCTAATATTTTTTTTCGCCCACAACGGTGCTAACTGCTATTGATTGCGGACGGTGGAGTGGCTTATATGGGGGGGTAAAATTTTAATAGCTTAGAACTTTGATTTCAAGGTATTGTGTCCTACTTTTAGAAATAAAACTAGGTGTGTCATGTGTGCATGTTCCAATTCTAAAGTATGCTACTTATTGTATACTCCGTGTTGAGTGAAGACCATCCATGGTGACGTTTATGATTGTGTGGACATATATAAACAACCGGGTATGCACCATCCAGCAATGGCAACTGATAGAATTCGGGTATGTGTGCTATAATTATTTACCACTGCAAAGTGTAAATGTACATTTTTTTTTTCAAATCTAAAAGCAAAGAGATCAAATTTGGTCGTGCAGATGGTAATCTCGCAGGAAGTGAAGAGGAGAAAGGATCAAAGACGACGATCGGAGGAGATGGATCAAAATCGACGATCGACGTCGGCGGCAGAATTACTTTGGTTGAATAAAAAGGGGTGTCCCATTGGAAGTGTTCCTATTCGCCGAATGCTCAAGTCTAATCACCGGAAATCACGGCGAAAGGTTCATCCACATGATTATAACTTAGGTAGAAGAAATTTCACAGAATATGCACCGCCAGGCCGTGTTGATGTAAGTCTAATTGCATTTTTATAAGAATAGTCTGAGTAAGCAATTACTCTAGATAGAACTAAAAATATGATAATTCTATTTCGATTATATCGAATTATAAAATAGTTTCCAAATTTGACATTCCTATTTTGAAATTTTCAAACGTTTTTACTCTTATTTCGAGATTTTGTATCCTCTTTATACCATTACTTAATCAGATTTTTTATAGTCCTTACCTTTAAATTATTGTGGCATAATTTGTTTAGAAACAATCTTACATTCTATAAATTACCTCCAATCACACTATCATATGGAGTAATTAAAGAGGCATGTAAATAACCAGCCCGCAAGGGCATTAGGATTTAGGGGCGTCTTGCAAATGGAGTGAGTCCTCCCTCGCCACACCTACTTAACGAGTTAACGGGTCAGGTCCGGGTATTTAATATTGTCCCGTGTTGCCGGCCAACCCGTCTTGACCCGCCCCGCTTAATCTATAAGTACACATAATGGTTTTGAAATTATACAAATATACATATATGTTCATATATGTGTGTGTGACCAAATTGAGGTCACCCTGGCCCGGTGGTGGCCCAAGGAATATGTGTAGTAGGTCCAAGAGTGAAGTCTGAACAGTGATTGATATAACATTCTATTTGTGAATTCCGTATACGTTTTAATCCTATATCGAGCATTTTGTACTTTTACATATATGCATGAATCCACGCAGTTTACAGGACTTACGGTTACAAATGCTCCATCCGGGGGATTTAGCGGTGCTAAAGCTACAATGACTATCTGGAATCCCAAACTGAAGGGAGATAACCAATACAGTTCGGCTTCTATTTATATAGAAAGAGGAGATAATCAAATACGAGTGGGATGGATCGTAAGTTAATTAATTAATTAATACCCAGTAATCTGACGTAGTATTACATAGACATTGTTCAACTCCTACGCCGTATGTTCTTCACTACGTAGTACTACGTACAAACTAATGCCTTGATCAAGTAGCTTGTGTTAATTAATTATATTAATTCATCATTTTTGCATGTTTTTAGGTATACCCGGCATTATATCATGATTCACGTACAAGATTATTTAGCAGATGGACTGTAAGCGCTGTTTTTGCTTTTATTTATTGGTCTCAACTCTTGTCCTCAAATAATACTTAAAGGACTGTTACACCCGTTACTAAGGGCCTGTTTGGATGGAGTGTTTGGAAGTATTAGTAATGGAAGTGTTAGTAAGTGTTAGTAAGGGCTCGGAAGGGAAGGGAAGTGTATGTGTTAGACATAATTTTACCTTGTTTGGGAGAGTCAAATGAATGAAGTGTTAATAATGGAAGTGTTAAAGAAAGAGTAAAGAAAGAGTAAAGAGAAGAGATGAAAAAACAAACCATCAGACCCGTGGGAAAGACATTCGAAGTGAAATGTCGAAGCATTTTATGTTTTTCGGACAAATGAGAAGGGTAATAATTGTCCAACACCTCAAAACACTCCAAATCGGGGTGTTAAAAAAATGGACAATTGAGGTGTTGGGAAGGTTATTATTAACACTTCCTGACCATTACTAACACTTCTTAACATCTCTGGTTTTTTCTACCAAACAAGTGTTAACATCAACACTTACTAACACTTCCATTGCTAACACTCTTCAACACTCAATCCAAACAGGCCGTAAGCCCAAACTCACTGGCCTGCTACAGTAATCCATCACAGTGACCAAATGTGCAGTGACCAATGTTATAGTTACCAATGACATAGTTACAAAATTCATCCAGTGACCAAAAATTAATACGTCCCACCAATGACCCGCATCACAGTGACCAAATGTGCAGTGACTTTTGTCCAGTGACCAAAAATTGAAATGGTGTAGGTCACAGTGACCAACCTTGCCGCCAACCACAGTGACCAACCTTGCCGCCAACCACAGTGACCAACCTTGCCGCCAACCACATTGACCTGCCGGCCAAAGCCACAGTGACCTACCGGCCAGCCGACCAGTGACCTCATCATCCTCGGTGGCCCCACCACCCAGTGACCCAGCGTCCAGTGACCCAACGGCCAATGACCCCAACCCCAGTGACCCGGCGTCCAGTGACCCAACGGCCAATGACCCAACCCCAGTGACCTATGGCCATGGACCAGACATATTGACCCGAAGCGTTGTACACCGGTGACACCATACACCACCGTTGACTGCCTTCTCCATCACAACCAACCACCGCCACACACCATCGTTGACTGCCTTCACCATCACAATCAACCACCGCCATGGACAGAACATCACCGCCGTCAACCACCGCCAAAAAAGACGTCGGCCCCAACAAACCCATATGCCCTGTCGGCCACCACTGCCGCAACAGATTCGGTGCATCCACCAACATCTGTCAAACAAAAACCTCTATGCAGTGACCGCCGCCGCTACCATGGCCGCTCATCCCAACCCCAGATCCTATCGACGGCCTCCTCTTTCCGCTTACCACTGCAACCACCTTCATCCAAATCGTGCAATACTTCTGTCCACGTGCCCTTCCGTCGCCTTACATCCCAACCTTTAGATGAAGAAGTTGATCTGTGGGAGGCGGAGGCGATGGCAGAGGCGGAGGTAATGGCAGAGATGGAGGCGATGGATGGGGTGACCGAGACAACGGAGATGGATGCGGTGATGGATGCGGCGATGGAGCCGGTGGTGATGGAAGTGAAGACGGAAATAGCACCATGGCGACGGCTGCACCTCTGGAGGAAAGAGATGAGCAGACCGCGAGACCGAAAGAAGAGCTGAGTACATTGGGGATTCAGGGTTTCAGTACCATTATATTTAGTCATACATTTTCCTATACATCCGCAAGTAATATTTATTAATACGAAGTAATTACTAATTTTATGCATCGATAATAAAATATTGAACGAACGCAGAGTGACAACTATGGAAAAACAGGATGCTATATCAATCACTGTCCAGGATTTGTTATATTCTCAAACACCATTCCCCTTGATTATGCTTATCCCGACATCTCAAAATCTGAAGGAACTCAATACGATACCACTCTCACCGTATTCAAGGTTCGTATCTGATCTATTTGTATATAATACGTACGAAATATGATGAACCGGTTTGATAGTAATGAAAAGTGACGATAATATAATGTATAATAAAGTAGAAAAACGAACGAAATGTTAGAAACTACGGAGTATAACATTAATTTCTTTATAATGACTTATTTCTCGAATACAATAACGAAAAGTTAACTTAACATGAAAAAATAGGGGATATTTTGACTTTCACCCTGTTTTTTTGGGTGATATTGGATTTGCACCCCATTTTCAAAACTTAAACTTTGCACCCTATTTTATGTAAAATGTCTTTGCCTTTGCACACTATTCAGGACTATTTCACAAAATGTTGTATGAATAGAGGACAAAGTCTAAAAGTTTAGAAATGGAGTGCAAAGTCAAAGTATCACCCAAAAAGTATCACCCAAATTCAAAATTACCCAAAAATAGAGATACCAAAATGTAAGTAAATTCATTAGTCATGTACCACCTACTCATGCGCTATAAATGACCAAATGCATAAAGAATATATTAGCGACTTAGCTATTGGCATTGTTCTACTCTATGTTAGGATATCTCTAACTCTTAAATAAAACAAAAAACAGTACCACAATTATGCGTAAATGTTTCAAACAATAATGCTATTCAAATATAACCAGTGGCGTACCCAGAAAAACTCATGAGTGGGGGCGAGCTTGCCTTATATATCATCACACACACGTTACGAAGTCACCAAATAAAAAACTATTGTAAAGTTACTTTTAAATAACAAAATATTCACTGGGCAAAAACTTTATGATATCATACTTAAAAATTCATATATATTAAATAAATTTGAATTTGTTTGAAATAAATTTTAAGCACCAGACTTATAAGGGAAGGATATGTACTTCTAAAAAAATCATATATGTAGCATGTACTTCGAATTAACTTAAGATACAAATTCACAAGTATATAAAAAAAGCAGTTTATAAATTTAAACTTTATGAATCATGTGTGGAATGAATTTTTTTATTATAATGAATTTTTTATATAGTATAAATGTTTCTATGGCTTACAAAACTTTATTACAAAAGTTATTTTTTTATGTTAAGCCATTTAAAATTTGTTAGTATAAGAAGTTGTTCCGTTCGTCTTAATCTTATTACTTATTCCTTAATCTTATTTTATTCAGATCAGATCAGATCAGATCAGAAAGATTCAGATCAGATCAGATCAGATCAGAAAGATTCAGATCAGATCAGATCAGATCAGAAATATTCAGATCAGATCAGATCAGATTAGAAACATTCAGATCAGATCAGAAAGATTCAGATCAGATCAGCAACATTCAGATCAGATCAGATCAGGTCAAAAAATTCAAACATGATTTATCACTTTTATTATTATATTAATTATGATTATTATATTATAGTTATTGTTAATAATATTAATATATTAAATTAATAATAATATTAATAATAATATAATAATAATGTTAATAATATAAAATTATTATATTATAATAATATAATATAATATAATATAATATAATATAATATAATATAATATAATATAATATAATATAATATAATATAATATAATATAATATAATATAATATAATATAATATAATATAATATAATATAATATAATATAATATAATATAATATAATATAATATAATATAATATAATATAATATAATATAATATAATATAATATAATATAATATAATATAATATAATATAATATAATATAATATAATATAATATAATATAATATAATATAATATAATATAATATAATATAATATAATATAATATAATATAATATAATATATTTATAATTATAATTATAATTATGATTTACAATGTAATTATAATTATAATCATCATTATTATTAATATGATTGTTGTTCTTGTTGTTATTGTTGTAATTATTATTACTTCGGAGTAATTATATATTTAAATTAGTAATTATAGACATAATTATGACTATAGAAATAAATATTATAATTATAATTACAATAATAGTAATTATAAAATTAATCATAATTAAAAATATAATTACATTTATAATTGTATCTGTATTTATAATTAGTGTAATTGGTATAATTATTATAATTTTAAATTTAATTTTAATTATTATTTTTTATAATTATGATTATAATTGTAATTTTATTTAAGTTATATTTTTAATTACAATTATAAATCTAATAATTATAATTGTAATTACAATTACAATTATAGAAATATTCAAATCAGATCAGAAAGATTCAGATCAGAAGAATTCAGATCAGATCAGAAACATTCAGATCAGATCAGAAACATTCAGATCAGATCAGATTAGATCAGCAACATTCAGATCAGTTCAGCAACATTCAGATCAGATCAGAAAGATTCAGATCAGATCAGAAAGATTCAGATCAGATCAGATTAGATCAGAAAGATTCAGATCAGATCAGATCAGATCAGAAAAATTCAGATCAGATCAGATCAGAACTTAAAAAATTCAGATCAGAAACATTCAGATCAGGTGAATGGAACAGCTTCTAAATGTTTCTATGGCTTACAGAACTTTATTACAAAAGTTATTTTATGTTAAGCCATTTAAAATTTGTTTAAGGCTTCAAAAAAGGGAAACCAAAAACAATTGAGCCCACCCAATTTCGAATCGTGGACGTAAAAAGTCAGCTAACTTAAACGTATATAGAGTACCGTTGCACCAGTGTCACCTTTGAATAGAAACTCACTATTAATATGAACAATATCTACTTTCAGAGACAAATATACATATAAAATTAAATATTGGATATATATATATATATAATTTATAAAATGCAAACAAATCCGGACCATCCACTTGAATGATCCTACGGTGTATCAATTTGAAAGATAGTAAAATTTTCCTACGTAACTGCCTAATCCATGTACTTGAGATAAAATAGGAAATATCCCCCACCTATGGCTGAATCTTAGAGGACAAAATATTTGTGACCATTGATTTTGTAATTTTGGACGGATGAAATGAATTTGCATTTTGTACCGGAAACACACTTTGTATCCGATCTTAACCCTATATATATATATATATATATATATATATATATATACATATATATATATATATATATATACATACATATATATATATATATATATATATAGGGAGCGGTTCCGGTAAGAACATATCTTAGGAGAAAAATGAGAACGAATCTGGACCGTTGGATTGTATTATGTGAAACCAAATTATGCATTTGGTGAAACTGAAATGTGCATTAAATGATATTAAAATGTGCAAAATAAAAATTTAAACTCAAGTGTGCATTAGATGAAACTGATATGTGCGAAAAAAAGTACAAAAATAACATCACATCGTACTTTTTATTCTGCACATTTCAGCTTCACCTAGTGCACATTTCAATTTCACGTATTGCACAATTCAAATGCACATAATGTCACTCTATCGTACCCTTTGTGATGCACATTTCAATTTCACCTAATGCGCATTACAGTTCTATCTAATGCACACTAAATTTCACTTAAAGCACATCTAACGGTCCAGATTCGTTCTCATTTCTCTCATAAGATCGTGTTCTTATTTGAACTAAAACATATATATATATATATATATATATATATATATATATATATATATATATATATATATATATATATATATATATATATATATATATATATATATATATGGGTTGGGTGGGGGTTGAGTGGGGCAGCTGCCCTCCCTGCCCCCACGTTGGATACGCCCCTGAATATAACTAATGTTCAATGGACTGTGCAAATAGTATATTGTCCGACACGTAGATTTTTTTTTAGGGAAAACTATCAAATAAGCCCCTCTACTTTTCATAAAAATCAATTAGACCCTCCAACTGAATATCTGTTCAATTAAATCCTCTAACTCATTAAAAAAGCCAAAGAAAAAGGGTCAAATAGACCCATGTACTATTGTAAAACCATCATCTAAATCCATGTACTAAAAAATGCATCATATAAGCCTATGTATTCTTAAAAAACAATCAAAATGGCAGTTTACCTGAAATTGACCATTTTTAGCCGGTCACTTTGCTAATTATACAAATTAAATTTTTATTTTATTTCTTTTTTACTTTTCCTTTCTCTGTGATCCGTTCATCCCATTCCAAACCTTCTAGTTGCAACTCACTTTCTCAAATTTTATACCTTTCATCTTCAATCTCTCTTAAGATTTTATATATACACTACACATATGCTCTTAATTAATATATATACTCTCTATTTATACGAAGTATATAAAAACAAAGAAACACAGGTGGACAGAAAAAACGATTAAATTTTTATCGTCTTCTTCGTGCTTCAGTTTTGTTTACGAAGCAAAGAATGACTGTTAAATGGGTGTCCCCCAAAACTAAGAACTTCTAATTAATCATTACATTTTAAAAATTGATATTATATATATATATACACACACACACATAATCAGATTTTAGAGGCAGATGAAATCATCGCTTGAGCGGCGAGAATGGATTTCCCAGTCGGTGGTCTTCCTCACCAACTTATTTGGGACAGAAAGCTTGAAACTGGAAGTCAACAACCTATTAAAGGGGCGTGGCAGAGCGATGAGGGTGAAAGAGTCCGTTCAATAGTCCCTGCGCGAAACTACTGGGTGAGTGAAGAAATTAACGATTCCGATGGAGAGCAGAGAGCGGAGAACTTTGTCTTCCCTTCTCCGGCGACCCTGCACGCACAACAGACCCTCTTGCCGCACAACGAGAAGAGAAGGTAGCCACCGCTTCCATGTGGACGAATCTGAAGGATATCGTCGTTGGACTGCTCTCACGTCTTCGATTTGAGATTTAGATCGACCAATAGTTTTGGACCTTGGGAGCTCCTCACACAAGCGACCAAAGAAGCGGACAAAGAAGTCTGTGGGAAGGAGCGGACAAAGAAGATAGAGAAAGAAAAAAGATAAAGAAAAAGTAAATTAAAAAAACACAAAAAGAGCAAATGACCGGTTATAAAAGGTCAACTCCAGGTAAATGGGCTGATTTGATCATTTTTCAGAATAAATAGGTTTATACGATGTTTTTTTAGTGCACGGGTCTAGTTGATGGTTTTACAATTGTACATGAGTCTATTTGACCCTTTTTCCAAAAGCCAAATAACTTTTTTTAACCTGTAATGAACCGTGTTAACCGGTCATCCCCCTCCCCCTCCCCTTGTTTTTCTCTACTTTCCGTTCTCCTCTGCCCTTCTCCTTCCACCCTCCCGTTCCATTTTTGTTTCCTTCTTTTTTTTCCTGTAATTTTCTTCCTCAGACGTTCTCTTCTCCTTCCTGGCATGATTTTCCTTTCCTTTGTTTTCTTTTTTACTTTATTTCTTTTCCTTCCCCTGTTATTTTCTTCTTCTCCTGGACTGAAACTGGGTTTTCTTCTGGATTTAATTCCCAACCTACGACTCTGCAGCTTCCTGTCTTGAAAAACCAACGATGTAACCCAACTTCACCGTCGAGATGTCCATCGTTGCTCCCGTCGCCCAGAACTTCCCCAACACAAGCATATAATCAATTTAGATGATTTTTAACCCTGGATTTAACTTGGGTTTCCCATCTTAAATTCCGATAGTTGAAGCTTAATAAGTTTGAGGGTTTGATTGAATGAATTTTAGGTAGAGGGGTTAAATTGATTTTTTTGAAAAGTAAAGGGTCTTATTTGACAGTTTTCCCCTTTTTATCATAAATTTAAATAATATTGATTTATTACATTTCATAGCTAAGTACTCCGTATCAAAGCGCAATAATATAGATAGCTAAAAGTAGGAAAATGTTCTCCTAAGGTTGGCCTAAAACTTAAAAGTTTTAGGCCTCTTTCATTTGAGGTGCTTCCGAGTCGAATATTTTTATGAAATTTTGTTGAACTGTTCCCCATGAAGTGTAGATTATTTCCACCAAATTTCAGATTAAAATTCAAACGAGAAGTCAGTTAAATAAATTATTGAAAAAAACTGCATTTTATTTGTATGACTTCTCGATTGAATTTTAAACTGAAATTTGGTAGGCATAGTCTACTCTTTATTGGGAACATGCTCACAAAATTTCATCAAAAAATTCGATCCGGAAACACGTCAAATGAAAGAGGCTTAAAACTTGAAGTCTTGGAGTTATCTTAGGAGAACACTCCCCGCTAAAAGTACTCCGTATTATTTATGCATTTGCCCATACTCATTCCCCATGCACATTTATCAATTACTTACACAATTACACCGGTATAAAACAATATCTTTGATCCCAGATAGCTAGTATTCTGGGGCGACCCTAGGCCCAAACAAAGAGGAAAGAATTAGGCCCATGAGTATATTGTGTGATGGGTGTGAGTAGGATGAGTTTCAGCCCAGGACACATCATCCGTATAGGCCCATATCTTTAATGGTAACGTGGATTGTATCTCTCAAAAAATGGACACATCATCCGTATAGACATCCCGTGTAGCTGACCTGGATGCACATACCCTTAAATTCATTCTTCTTCTCCAATGGAGTCCTCATCTAAGCCTTCTTGCATTCCCTAAATAAAAACATTTGACTCTTGGTTTATACGCAAAAAATTGAAAAGGGAGTATACGGAGTGTAAAGAACGGCGAAATAGAAAATACAAAAAAAAAAAGAACGGCGAAATAGTGTGAAATGTAAATGAAAAAGAGCGATACAGAATGGCTGGTGCTTAGGGAGGAGAAGATCTGATTATTTGATCTGCCAAAAATTGACATGCTTGATATTACGAGCACTGAGGCTAAGAAAACAACCATCTCTCAGTCTAGATACATTAAAAGAACCAATTTGGAACTTGGAAGAATGAGCAGAGTGCTCAAGCTATGGAAATTGGAAGAAAAGGAAGTCTTATTTTGGAAGTTTAAGGAGTCGGAGAAGACGATCACCTGAGAAAAAGGGACTACCAGCCGATGCCGCCAAGAGGAGGAGTGCCACCGCATGGAAAGGGACTGTGACTTGCGAGATGGTGCCGGAGTTGATCTCGCGTGGGATACTACTGCAGCGAGAAGGTTCGTAGCCGGAAGGGAATTACTCCGTATAATAAATGTTATGTTGAGTCAGCATGTCAGACACACCCGCTACAACTAGAAAGGCAGATAGACACCTTCGATTCATTTGGTTTACACCTCAACACGATAGATGAAATGCATATTTGCGTTGGAGATGATAATTTTTGCAAGGTCTGGCGTGGCAATGCATTTAGTGCAATCGAAGCCCCCGTTAAAGATGCTCTAATAATGTTTCGGGTGATTTTTTAGGTGTTTTCAAGTGAACTTTTTTATGAAACTTAATGAACATATTCTTTATGAAATTTAAATCATATTAAAAAAATCGGTTTAAAATTCAATATTTAAGTCAATTAAATAAATTATTGAAAAGACTGCATTTTTCTGCATATTTTGGCACAATGTTATTTAATACTCCGTAATTTATTTCTATGACTTACTGATTAAACTTTAATCTGAAATTTTGTGGAAATAATATAAACATGGTGAATATATATTTTGAAGATATAATAATAAAATTATTATTATATCCAGACATAACCCAACCAGCAAGTTTCAATCGAAAAGAAAACATTTTTAATTTTTTCAATGAATTCTCATAAATGTATCAAACATTTAGCAGCGCGACCTCTACAAATGATAAATGTGTAGGTGTACTACAGTTCAGTTTTGTTGTTGCAAAGAGAAATCAATTTCATGATCGATGCCTTTTATAATCAGGGAAAATGGAAATTAATAATCCAACCTTTTAGCGGTCTTCTTTTAATAGTCCCACCTTTTCGTTATTCATGAATAATCCAACTTTTGCATCTCATCTTCATTCATTGGTCCCCGACCGGTTGATGACCTGCTATTCCGAGTTATTTTCTTATCTCTGCAAACTATTATACCATAAATTCCACCTTTCACAAAGATAATATTTTGCAAAGATAAGAAAATAACTTGGAATAGCAGGTCATCAACCAGTCAGGGACCAGTGAATGAAGATGAGGTGCAAAGGTTGGATTATTCATGAATAACGAAAAGGTGGGACTATTAAAAGAAAATCGCTAAAAGGTTGGATTATTAGTTTCCATTTTCCCTATAATCAATTTAATTTGATGATTTGCAGGAGCGGCCTATTGGAACTCTGAAAAGATCATTATACGCACAATATCTTTATAAAATTTATATATACTTCTATAACTTATGCAAATATAATGTTTTCCTCACTATTTTATGTTTTAACCATTATGTTTAATTTACATCACTGAATTTAAATTTTAGTTTTTCTTTGAGAGAAAAATCATTCGAAGTAATTGACACTATTTGTGTAACTATAATCTAGAGATAAGGGTCAGATTGGTACTCAAAATTGCATAAAAAGGGTCAAATAAGTCCTCATATAGGAGATCCTGTCCGGACGTCACCATTTGGAGCGGTTCCCGATGGAATTTTTTGAAAACATTTTTCGAACATCTTATTCATTAAGTCTGGTTTACTCATACCAAATTTCAGATAAAAATTCAACCGGGAAGGCATTCAAATGAATTCTTGAATATAACTGCGCAGTTAAAAGCGCAGTTATCTTCAAGAATTTATTTGAATGCCTTCACGATAGAAGTTTTAGCTGAAATTTGGTATGAGTAAACTAGACCTAATGAATAAGATGCTCAAAGCATTCATCAAAAAATTCCACCGAGAACCGCCTCAAATGGCGACGGCCAGACAGTAAAGACTTATTTGACTCTTTTGACTCAACTTTGAGTACCAATCTGACTCTTACCTCCTATAATCTAGTTGTTAGTTTAATTAAATTTTACGGAGTATATCATATAACAAATTACCCAGAATAGGAGTAAAAGTATGACAAATATAAAAAATAAGACATCTTATATTTTTATTCCTATGGAAACATAGTTTATTTTTTGGTCCTATTTGTGCAAAGTGAGTGACTTTTAGTCCTATTTTGATAATTAACTCCATAAACATTATTTAGGGTACGGACGGTGATTGGGTCCTAAATTTTGATGATGAAGATGAAAACCTTGGAATGTGGACAAAATCCATATTTTCCAGCATGAGTGAAACTGCTGCTCAATTGCGATTTGGAGGTGAGAGTTTTGAAGCAGAAGGTGAGGTCTATAGCCCGGAAATGGGAAGCGGTGCATTTGTGAATGGACAATATGACAAAACCTGTTATATGCGGCGACTGTTTTACATCGATCCTGTGTACGGAGGCAATGTTGTTGACGATTCAATGGTTCAAGCTCAAGACTCCAGATGTTACTATTGCGGTGATAATGGATTTAATTACAAAGACGATTGGTATGCATACTCATTTTTATTTGGAGGCGGCGGCGGCAAAGATAATGTCGATTGTTTCGACAATTAAATCTATCTTGAGCTATTGCACAAGATAATGACTACACCGCACTCACTAATCCTTGTAATACTCATCCCACACAATACACAAACCACAAACACTTTACTCTATAAGAATCTTATTTATTACGGGTACAAGATATTTCATCAATTTCATAATGAAGACCATCCCATTTCTGGAACTAGCTAGCTTAGGATACATAGAGTCCTATATCGTACACCCGGGTGTACGTACATCCGGCCCAATTAATGATATTGACTGGTGGGCTGACATCTTGTCCCAGCGAATCGCGACCATAGGGAACTGGATTCCTTCACACAAAAAGTAAAAACCACAACAAGAATCGATCCCCAGACCTGTAGTAGCATATGCTATCTTCCAACCATCTCACCAAGTCATCTTGTTGAAATAATTAGTTCTTTTATCTTACTTATCCTATATAGTTGCATACTACGTATTATTAATAGTAATTATAATATTAACTATTCTTTTACTTTTTCTCATTATTACTATATTAAAAGAGTAATTCATATTTTTGAAGTATTTATTTGATATCTAGTATTAATTTATATAAATATATTTATAATTTTTTTTATATAGTGTTAGGTTTCTGATAAGCATGATGCTCATCAAAATTGTTTTAATGCTCATAATAGGACTAATGCACATTAAAAGTTTAATAATGCTCATTTAACAGAAACAAGGATTTTCATCTCAATAGATGATATTTGATGCTTAATGAATATGTTGTTATTCAACTTAACAAACTTTGCGATTTTCATATCTAGGAACATTTTGTAAGATGTGCATGCTCATCCGGTACTGATCTTATGCTTATTTTCTAAATGTCATATCAGCATATTTTCTTTAAAGTACTATTTTACATTAGATTCACATATTGAAATTCATAGGAGTTGATTAGAAATATAATTTAATAAGTTTTTATAAAAGGAAAATTACATTATATTGATATGACATTGTAAAAATGAGTATAACATGAGTACCAAATGAACATACATAACTTACAAAGTGCACATTGATATGAAAATTGCAACATTTGTTAGTTGAACATCATGACATTTTAATTGAGCATTCAACCTCCACTATTGAGATGAAAATCACGACTTCTAGAGAATGAGTAATAATGAAATTTTAATGAGCATCATACCTATTCTGTTGAGTATTAGGAGTATAATATTCAGAATTGTGATATCTGCTTCATAACTTCTAATTCACTTTCTTTTTGTTATTTTTATCGTAAGATTTGTTAGTTGAACATCACGACATTTTAATTGAACATCCAACATCTGCCATTGAGATGAAAACCACAGTTTCTTGTGAATGAGTATTAATGAATTTTTAATGAGCATCATACCTATTATGTTGAGTATTAGGAGTCTATCATAAAATAATACATTTAGAAAGTGAGCATAAGATCAGTATCAGATGAGCATATGTAACTTACATCACGAGTATTAATGAATTTGTTAGTTGCTTTGTTAGTTGAACATCACGATATTTTCATTCAGCATCACAACTCCTTTATTGAGATTGATGAAAATCATGATATGACATTTGAAATATGCATTGATATGACATTTTAAAAATGAGCATAAATGAGTATAAATTGAGCATATGTTACTTACAAAATGAGCATTGATAAGTTTTTTTTGATTGAGTATCAAGACATTTTCATTGAACATCAAATCTCTTCTATTGAATATTAGAAACATTCAATAGAGTATTAAGGTATGTGCTCGATCTAGTATCTAGAATGAACTCCTATGTAAATATTATGTAATACGACACTTTTGTAGTATGCATTGATATAACATTTTAAAATGAGCATAGATCCAGTACGAAATGAGCATACAAAACGTACCAAATGAGCAATAATATTCTATTGAGCATCAGGAGTGTAACCATGATATCGTGATCTTTGATTCATATTTTCTAATTTACTTTCTTTTTCTTATTTTTTCTTTTATAAAAATTTATTAAATTATATATAATCATTTTCTATGAGCGTAACTTCAATATGTGAATCTAAAGTAATATTGCACTTTTGAAATATGCATTGATATGACAATTTTAAAATGAGCATTAAGAGTCGAATAATGAGTATTGTGATATCAACTTCAAATATTGTAATTCACTTTTTTTTTCTTATTTTTTCCTTTTTTTTAAAACTCATTAAATTATATCTATAACCAATTCCTATGAATTTCAATATGCGAATCTAATGTAATATGGTACTTTTGAAATATGCATTATTATGACATTTCAAAATGAGCATAATAGAAGTACCAATTGAGCACACGTAACTTACAAAATGAGCAGTAATACGAAAGTAATCAGTTTTCTAGTTGAACATTAAGACATTTTTATTGAGTATCAAACATCCTCTCTGTAATTGAGTATCATGGTTTGAGCTCTCGTATCTATAATCATCAACTCCTACGAAACTTAATGTAATATAGTGCTTTTGTAATATGCATTGACATAACATTTTAAAATGAGCATAACACCAATGTCAAATGAACATACACAATTTACCATATGAGAAATGATATCAAAATTATAAGCTTGGTTAGTTGATCATCAATACATTTTCAATGAACATCAAATCTCATCAATTGATTATCAGAAACATGCAATTGAGTATCATGACCTTTTGAAATGAGCATAAACCAGTACGAGATGAACACAAGTAACTTACAAAATGAGCTTTGAAAATTTAAAAGCTTGTTTGAATTCTCTTATATGTTCAAATGTTCATTTGTGCATATTTATTTTACATTATACTCATTTTATTATAACACATAACTCATGTTAGTAATTAATACACAATATTTAGTAACTAATAAATATTCATCTTAAATTAAAAAATAGATGAAAAACATCGATAACATAATGCACAAATTAATAAAACTCGAGTTAGAAGGTTGATTAAAAAAGAAGAAGAAACAAACTCAAACATTGACAATATTTTATATTAACCATTTTCATAATAGTTGAATAAGAAATTAAAGCATGTTAAAGAAAATAAACAAAAGAAAAAAGAACGAACTAAAAAGGAAAACAACTAAAAGCATTGAAAGTTGAAACCTAAAAAGAAGCGTAAAATGGAAAAACTGAAAAGCATGGAAAGAAAGTCAAAGGTAGCGAATAAAGAAAAGAGAAAACAAAAACAAAATGAAGAGTGGCGGACCGACGGCAGAAAAAGAAAAGCCCCAACAACCAATAGCCTAACCATTACCCTAAAATCTGGATCTAATTACAAAATAATCCGGCTGTACCATGCTCTAGGTACAGCCGGTTGTACCGTATATATTACCAGATACATATTAATAAATATATCCTCTCGGTCTCATTGCATACTTCCAAATTTAGGTTTTTATTTGTTTCCAAATAATTTGTCACTTTCTAGGAGAGCTAAAATATAAAGAGAAAGAGTTTGCAATAAATGAGTTGTGAACCCCATAAACCTACCCTGGTCTTAGGGGTATAATTAAGGGGAAATATGGATTGGGCTTCCAGGTCTTGGGTCTGGGAGGCCCGATTACTAAAATGAGCTGCTAATGAGCTGTTTACATGCTTTATAACCCACTAAGGGTCCTGTGAGAGAGTCTGCTAGCATTGGGTCCGAAGTTCAAGCGCACCTCGAACCTGTTGGTGAAGGAATCAAGGTTACTCATGCCGGGGTGCGTTCCTCCGAGGTGACCATCGTGAGGCGATGTTTGACAAAAGTACGCCAGGCGCCAGCCCTTCATCCTGGGCTGGGCTCTCTAGGCGGGTCTTTTCATGGGCCGTCCTTAATTCAAAGTGTATATGGGTGTTGGAACATATTGTTTTGTTGATGACAAACAATTAGTGTTACTTTTGATCTATAAGTGATTGCAAGAAAGGAAGATAAACCGTACTTTGGAACAAGCTATAGACCTGAACGGCGGATAGAACTATCCTCAGGTCCAAATGGACATTATTATTATGTTGTTGACTAACCATGCAGGTGGAACGGCGGACAGAACCACCCCCACTTCTAGTTCCGTGATATGGTTTGAATTAATATTTATTGCATCTACTTAATTGAAAATTAATGTGCTTTCCTTATGTGAGTGCTCATACTTGTCAAGAATATTATTTTAAAAAAAAATCTTTTATGCATGTCCATTATATATATATATATATATATATATATATATATATATATATATATATATAGAGCTCTTCTCATCAGGCCGGCCTGACGGGCTGCCCCGTCCGGCCGAGCCCGTTTGGGCACCTTCCCGGTGGAATTTTTTGATGTGATGAAATTTTTTGAGCATGTTCCTCATCGAGTCTAGTTTGTCCATACCAAATTTCAGCTCAAAATTCGATCGGGAAGGTCGTGAAATGATTTTTGCAAGTTAACTGGTCCGGAAAATACATATTCCGGACCAGTTAACTTGCAAAAATCATTTGACGACCTTTCCGATCGAATTTTGAGCTGAAATTTGGTATGGACAAACTAGACTTGATGAGGAACATGCTCAAAAAAGTTCATCAAAAAATTCCACCGGGAAGGTGCCCAAACGGGCTCGGCCGGACGGGGCAGCCCGTCAGGCCGGCCTGACATGATGATTTCTCTCTCTCTCTCTCTCTCTCTCTATATATATATATATATATATATATATATATATATATATATACACGTACTTTCCATTGAGCAACTTATTCTCTTTACATGCTTGATTAGACATCCACTTATGGAAAGTATCCTTACTTTCTATATTAATGATTGCATGATTAATAATTGGATGTTGACCATAGCACTTATACTTGTTAAGTGAATTCTTGTTATACGGATTTGATAAAGTCATCCTTATTAATTGAATATCTTTATGGAAAGGTTCTTGAATGATTGCATCCACTTAGAAAACGAATTTTTTTTAATGGAATCCATATCTTGGCCGTAGCACCTTCTCTTGTATTAAGAATAATATTCCTACCTTTTTGGGAGTTGACCAAAGCTTGTTGTATTTGGTAATTAATTGATCCACGTGATTTGAATGAGCCGTTTGTATTTATTCTCTTAATCTGTGTCTAATATGCTACCTTGAATATATGATTATGATATTTTAAATGTCTTCATTTGGCTGCCTTATATATTGAGCTCGGATATGGGAAATATCATGAAAGGAAAGCAATTCAAAATATCAAGGCAAGTCCCAAGATTAGAAGATCAACTATTCAATGAAGGATGCCCAAACGGTCTGCCAAGACAACATATATAAACGAAGCAGCCAAAGAGAAATAAAGCGTGCTTGACTCTGAGAGTCATCGAGAGATATATTCATAAAAGAAATACTGAAGATCAAGGCACCTGAAACTGCTCACCCGGAGTTCTAGAT